ACACACACACACACACACACACACACACACACACACACACACACACAGTCAGTCGTGTGTGTTCTCTCTTGGCAAAGGTCTGCGGTTGCAGCGGCGGCGGCGGCAGCTCCAGCAGGGGCCATGTGTTGCCATGTTGTTTGTAGCACTTTCCTGTTTCTGGAATAACCGCTTCCCTTTGAAACCCCGCACAGAAAGAGTTCCACTCAGAAAACATTCCACTGCCAAGGAAAACACCTCTGGTGACCAAACCACGGCCCCTCCCTTTGTCCCCGTCCAGTGGAGGTGTTTCACAGAAGATAAAATCAGCCGAGGCCCTTTAGGGAATGGAACATATCCTCACGCTGCCTTTCCTCAAACTCTCATTTTTTTTGTTATCTTAGAACCAAAACAAAAAAGAAATCCCCAATGAAACAGGATTCACATGTTAATCCCGTGAGCTGTGACAGATGGATTAATATTCTTGAAGATCAGTATCTCTCTTTCAAAGCTAAAGAAACTGGAAGACCGCTGCTGTTTTCTGTGATGTCATTGAGACATTGAATTGGAGACAGACATATTTGAATGTTTATTTGAGCTTTCACATTCAGATAAGTGTGATTTCACTGTGGTGCCTGAACTCAGAAACCACAAAATGTGCTTACATATATCACATATAACTCTGTGTCACTGTCGGTGAACCAGGTTCAGAGTGTGACAGTGTCATAGTTCTCCTTTTTTTCTCTTTATACTAATACCATATCCAGCAGAATGCAATCATGTCTTATGCAAATATCTAAAGGTACAAGAAAGCAGATTTTTTTTTCTTAAGTGTGTGTGTGTGTGTGTGTGCGCGTGTGTTAATTCGCAAGCATTAGGCTGGAAGGAAACACTTTTCCCTCTGAGTGTATTTTAAGGATTAAGATAAACAGACATTAACAAGGTGCCATTATCGCTTCCACACTCTCTCTCCTGTGTACGTTGCAAAAAAAGGTCGTCCATGCAGGTTGTTGCAGTCGAGATGGATATCAACCAGAAAACAGTTTCAAAAACAAGTGTGTAGTGTGCTGCACTCCATTCACGATTAAGGTTAATAATTTCTCTGAAATTTGCCCTACAAATGTGACAGTGTCATTACTTGAGAGAACCAAAATATGACTTGATGTTTTTTTTCTGTTTTTATCAGTCTAACTGCAATATCCCTAATCACAGAAAAGATGAAAAGAGTGATCGGTCTATAAATTAAATGTATTGACTTGCAAAAACAGCTAAATCACAAAAATGTCCTGCTGTCCTCGGATTGCAGGAAATTACCTACAAATACCAGCCACCTGTGCCCTCAAATAACCCAAGGTACCAATTACATATGACATAAATCCTGAGATAAACGCTGCTATATACTCAAGAGGGCAGAATTACAGCAAATATGAAAATGCCCCCAATCTAATTATCATTAGGGAAGGTTGTGGTTTGTGGCTAATTGAGGTCAGTCGAAACGTAACGATGTATAGGCTTCAATAATTACCTTCTCAAATGCGTTACAAAGACTGTTTTTGCGTGGCAGCTGTCCGCGTGTCCGGTATACGTTCAATTGACCTCCCGATCAGAACCAGGTAGAGAGGAGAGACAGGCCCAGAGAAAGAGAGGAGCGGGCCGTTTTATACTTGAAGTGGCTGTTGGTGTTGACGCCTGGCAATTACACACAATCAGTCCGAGAGCTGCAGACCTTGCTCCCCCCCCCCCCCGTACAATGGAGCCCCGCGCGCAGTGGAACCTGGGGGGTGAGGCCCGCGCGCCGCTCAAGTGCGTGCAGCTGCGTGCGCTCCAGAGAAAGCTCACTTCCCCCGCAATTAGCTACTCATTTCAGTTTTAACAATGAAAAACTGGTTTATTATCAGCTCCTCTGGCAGTCGTTTCGGTTTAAAAAAAATTGGCGTCCACTTTTTGGGGGTTATTATTTATTGGTGTCTGAAGTGGCTCTGAGAAGTTCTTTTCTAGTAATTGTCAGGCTTATCTTGATTTGACAAATTTACCAGAGACTTGAATGGCACTTCACCGTTGCAGCCTCACACACAGAATGACCTGTGGTTTAATTATGCAGGCTACTGGTTATTGGAGTTTTTCAATTAAACGCTTTACCTTCACACCTCAATCTGTGGTTTGTATTGTTATTCTCATTTAATCATGGGTGTTAAACACTGTTAACTGTGCTGTTTAAAAAAAAATATATATATACTTTGTTTCCATTACTATTAACACACATCAAAGCAATTGAAATTTAAATCTTTCCAACAGTTGACTCCGACCATGAGTGGATTGTGCGGACCTGTCGCAAAGCTTGGGACGAGGTTGTTGGCGTTGATCGTGAAAAGTCTGTTGCAACTGGACCGGAAGAGACCAGCAAAATCAACTGAGGCGTTTATGAATAGCTTATTAAAACTGCTTTTGTTTTACATGTATTTGTTTAAGATGTATACAATTAATTAAAAAACAAAAGGTTAGGTTCATACTGTATTTTTTATGTTGTGATTATTTACCTTCTTTTTCAGAAATCCTCCTTATATGCAGTATATTGTAGAAGTTCTTGCTGTCAGTGCATTCATCTTTATTTCCATGTGTGTGTTTTAGACTAGTTTCAAACGCAATATGCACAAGCAACATATGAAACTGATCATTTTAAATGTACTATATGTTGTTTTGAGTTAAGTTGTTGGTTGTGCAAACATACTATATTTATATTAATTCCATCTGATGTCATCAGCAGGTCTGCTAAGAAGCATTTATGACTGAATATCACTTTCCGTGGTGAAAAGTCAAATACCAACTGTCCAAAGAAAGTTGTTATGATCCCAGACAGGAATATCTTTGATTATATCTATTGCACATTCAAATCCTGACAATAGGTGTTCCTGCATGCAAAGATATAAATAATATACAAAATAATATAATGGAGGTATGTTAGTCTATGTGTCAGTATATAAGATTATATCAATTTAGGCTTCACGTCGCAGTGAAAAGTGTTGTCTCCTAAACAACACATTACAAAATATACTTATTTGATGGTCATTTACTCCCTTTAACGTTTAATCAAAATAAACTGTCTGTAGAGGATGTAAATAAAATGAATATGATGTCAAGTATTTAAAAGCAGCAGTTATTTTCACAAACAGAATCTTCCACGATGCACCCTTTCTGCTTCATGGCAAATACACCATCACACAAAAAAATGCAACTCACAACATCTCTCTCTCTCTCTCTCTCTCTCACAGACACACACACACACACACACACACACACACACTAGGATGAACATATCTATCCACAAAAATAGGAGGAACCAACACAACCAAAGAACTAAACATCATGCATGATTACAGAACACATGGAAAATACAATTACTTAATATTGATTTATTTAATTTGTATCTTTGTCATTTGAAATACCCTACCCCATTGAGCCTAATTTAATCTTGGTGCCTCACATGTTCTTTGCTTTGTGCCACACATGTTTGGGGAAGTAAAAGTGAATAATTGCTTCCTTCATTTATCCTCACAAATGATTCAAAACCACAAAAATATCACATTCTATTTTATTGCATTTTAGTACACAAAACATTTATGATGCACAGTCTATCAAATAAACTTTTTTGTTGAATTTCGTTTCATGTTTTTTAACAAAACAAAACAATTTCAGAGGAAAAAAAGTGCTTTACAGGGATTTACCATCTCAATAAATACAAGGACACTGAGGTCTTGTTGGATCCTGTTCTTCACACAATGGCCATGGCACTAAAATACAGATGCACACTCTCTACCCCTGCCAATACACACACACGCACACACGCACACACACGCACACATCTTACTATGTACAACCCCAGTCTGTTTCATATTGTCCATATTGTACCAAGACACCAACACTCCATTTCCCTTTGTGCGAGAGACACACACACACAGGGTGAACAAACAACATTAGAAATGATAAATTAGTGACAATACAATTGTTTGGAAATTTGAAAATATGTAACTAGTAACAGATTTTGTAGTTTGACTAGTATGCTCATCTCAGACTTCCCTTTGTTTCTCCGTCATGTAACATGATCGCCTAAAATTGGTTTGCTTCTATAATGTTACAGCCATAATTTAATAACACACAATTCCAGACTTTGTGCAATGTGGTTTTCCTTCTTGATTAACAGTCAAGTTGCTGATTTTCTACCAATGGCAGGTTTAAAATCCTCGTAATTTGTTCCAAACTATAGAATTAAAAAACACTCAAATCTTTCTTTCGAGACAAATTACACACTGAAATGTTAATAAGCCGATTCAGTGCTGTAAGGTAGTAATAATTGAAACGATAAGGCACACAATGTTTCATTCTTTAACAAAAATCTAGTTCTACACCGCATTGCAGTGAAAATTGACCAAAAATGTAACACAGAAGTTTTAGTTTTTTGAGATGTCATACAGTCACTTTGTCAATCCGAAAGAAAATATTTCAACAGTCAACTTATTTCATTTACATACATGTTTCCTTCATGGTTGCTTAGAGAGAAGAGAGAGGAGTCTTACCTCTAATGTGGTCTACTGCGTGTGACGGGCCCTTGGGCCAATATGACAGTCCCCCTTTACATTTTCCCCTCTTTGTTTATCTTCAGTATTCTGACATCACCCAAGAGGCTTCCTTCCTGCGTCCTTGGTCAGTTTCATCCCTTTGAAACTTCCTCTATCAAGTTGAGGATGTATTGGTGGAGTGGAGGATGCAGTACATATGAAGCAAAATGGGTCCTTTACGTGGTGTAAAATACAGTCAGGGATATTCCTGTCCTCAGGAAGAAAAATAACACAATGACGTAAGTTTTTCCTCGTTCTTCCATTCCTCTTTCCTGGGCAGGGCTCCTTGTAAGATATGTCTTTTCTCCAATCTGACTCCTGCATGACCTCCGGGTCAGGTTCGCAGACTTCAGTGATGGAGATCAAGGGTGAGGATCCGGAGGTTTGGGGGTCATAAGGGTCATAGTGGTGGAGCGCTAGCGGCTGAGGGGGAGCTGGGGCAACGACATGGCCTGGTGAGGGAGACTCTGAGAGGTCAGCATGGAGAAGGGATGACCTAGAGAGCACACAAATAAAACAGAAGAAAATAATTTTTAAATAGTGAAATAAAGAATATACTGACGAACAAAAGCTAGACCGTTTATTTGACTACATACTGCACAAACTACAACTCACTGTCGATATACCCGTGAAGGGCCACCATGCGCGCCCGCTCAGGACTTCCAAAGGGAGAGTAATGCAGCTCATCGGGCAGGGACGAGGGTATCCTGGACTGGAGATGACCTGGGGGAGCCCCACTGTGCTGGGGCGTGTGCTTTTTGTGTCTTGCTCTGCAGTTTTGAAACCACACCTATGAAGACGCAATGTAACCAGACATCATGTAGCTATATTCTTAAAAACAAATATGTTGTTTTATTTCAAAAGTACAATTTTAAGAATCATAAATGACAGACAAAACATTTAGAATATATTTTTTATTATGAATGTGTACACATGAACATTTTAATATAATCTATTAGCAGAAAACACAATTTTACCTTTCCTTATTTTACTCATTGTATGGCTGGATCAAGCCTTAGGTGTTTGTATGTTGCTGAATACACACAGCAACAACCGTGCCATAACACAAGTAAATAAATTAGTAACAGAAGAAAGTGGATATCTCTGTACTGACCTGTATAACTCTCCTGCTGAGGCCTGTCATGTCGGCTAGTTTCTGTAGCGTCTGGGCATCTGGATTGTTATCTTGGGCAAACTGAGCTTGCATGATCTGCATATTGAGGATAAAACATTAGCATGAAATCAAACGCTGCTAAAAATTCCGATGATTGAAGAGATCATTTCACATTGGATTTAGGGTTAATAATGTGTAGCTGAGAGTGCTGCACATTTACAAAAAAGGCTTCAAATTGTATTAAAAACACAGATTTTAAGCTGAGATTGGTGCGATGTGTGTGTCTGACCTGTAGCTGTTCTGCTGTGAACGATGTCCGTGCCCTTTTGGACGGTTTGGGCTGACTGTCTTGTTCTGTTGGAACTGCTCCCTCTAATGTGATACCATTACCTGAAAAAAAAAACACAACGGCAGACATGTGAGACAACAGACAAATGTATTGAATAAGAACTTGAAAAGAAAAAAGATCCCAGGAGATGTATTTGAACCACAGGTCTTGGACACCATATCATAAAGGGAGCTCTTGGGCTCTTGTAACATGACCACTGAGAAATCAAAGAGAAGCAGGCCAGACATATTAAACAATCAATGATATGAGAAATAAGAAATTGTACACATTTAATTATGAAGTCTTCCTTTTGCTTGCAAATTCAGATAACCTCAGTTTGGGAGGACTCTTGAGCAAACATCTGGACAGCCACAGAGAAACCAATTGCCAGAGCCGCTACTCACCACTCTCAGCCGCTCGTTTGAGGTTCTCCACCATGGTGTCGTAGTGGGTCCTACACAGGACCTTCTCCTCCACCAAGCCAAACTCCTCTCCCGTGGACAACTGCCTCTTACACGAGTAGCACGCAAAACATGCCAAGTGGTATGCGTTTCCCCTCGCACGGCGCACCCAGTCGCTGGCGAATATCTGCCGCCCACAGCGGGCACACTTAGTACCAAACCTACTGTGAGGGAGAGAAAAAGAGAACAGAGGCAGAGGAGGAGAAACGGGATGAGGCATTAGTGGTTCATTGATTGGGTAAAAGCAACATTTCGGTAGAGAAAATTGCTGCAGTAGATCATCTTTTAAATCTAATCTTAAAGCCATTCCAAGATCGTACACACATTATTAAACATAATGAAATAAACATGCAAAGACGTCCTTTTCTTTGCGATTATTTTTGAGAGAGCTAAAGTTGAAAATGTGTGTTTTATATTCTTGGAAGTTTTGGCAGAGCTCAAAGGGTTTAAGGAAGAAACCCTGGAGGAGGATGTGGCCTTCAGAAAGGACTCCTGACTGCGGCTGCAAGCTGAGCCTTGAATGCAAACAAACCAACACCTGCAATTTCCTGTATGATGCATGAAGGCCCTGACATGTGCACATGCGCACACACACACACACACACACACACACAGACACACCGGGGAACAAAGCAACACACATGTAAAGCAGGGTGGCTTTACACACAGCGGAAGATGAAGAGAGACTTGGATGACATCACTCTAGATCGCCCCGCTGTAACTGATAGCAACAGTGAGGTCAGGCGGCATATAAACCTAAACCACCTGACTTACTGTTCTGAATGGGTGGGTGGATGAAAGATAAATGGACAGAAAGATATGGAAAGAGAGAGGCTATATGCAGGGAACGGGTTCGTCAGCAAATGCTTTAAGACAATTCCTAAATTAGCTCAAAACAAAATATGAATGTGGAAAATAAACATGTTCTTTTCATTTGAAGTATTTGAATATGTATAAATGTGGACAGAATGAGACTAAGCCAAAATAAACACTGCCATAGATTTAAATACCCCAACATTCTTAATCTTTCAGAGATAAGTGTGCATTAGTCACTTTCACAATTTCTTTTTTGACTTCGCTACCCTGTCTGTGGCCTCATTCCCATTTAATCCCACTGAAGATATAAATCTTTTTAAATGGGTCACAAAGATATAGTTTGTTTTTTTAAAGGCTAAATAGTTCCCGAAAACAGCTGGACACTGTATTTTTTGCCCAAACATTGCCCAAACAATAGTGAACAATGCATTTGATGGGAACTATTTTTGATCTGCGGTTCAATACACATTTGGTGTTTCAGCGAGTATTCACAGCAGCAGGACTGTGTAGAACTGACTCTAAATAAACTGCGGTGCCCATGTTCATCGTGTCATGTGACCCATGAATGTGTTCATAATAGGTTTAGCACAACAATGTAGGTCTGTGGCAGAGAGGAATAAGATGCATCAGGCTTTGGCTACACAGTTAGTTTGGGTCTTTTAATGGGATTTGTAGGAAATACCCCAAAAATATGGAATAACACTATCCTCCTTTAACTTAGATTGGGTTCACTGAGCAGCTGGCACTGAGGAGTATCCAGAAAACTGCACTTTAATGCAACTGGAATATTGTATACATTTCCTGTTTTACACCACAATCAAAAGACATTAAGCCCCTAATTTAAGAATGCATTGTGGGTTTAATGGGTATGAAACACTTT